AGGTCCAGTCAAGTTGCCCATTGCCTGGCCCTTACTGGAACCCCTGTACTCCCAGGTGAAAAGCTTTGATTGTGTAAAGGAGGTTTACATCCAGGGTCTCTCAAAGGTTATTTGATCAAACTGAGGGATTTCCAGTAGACATGATTTGCCTGTCATGTTGTTTAAAATGTAAGACAACCCATCTCAACAGGAGTCAGATGTCGAGAAACTATACTTCTAAACATAACATACAAAGGTTAATGAGGTGGCAAAGAACATCGACCAGTTGTGACCGCAATCAAATCAGGTAGTTGCAACCTGTCTTTGTCCAGGGTTGTTGGCTGACCTTTTTGGAAATCAGAGATGGAGGGCTGTCAATAAGGGCCGTAACCTATAGCACCTGGTACAGCTGAGTATGTTTGATCAGCCCTTGATGTTACGGGTGAACTTGCTTGTTGTTGATACAATTCAATCATAAAGTAACAAGTTTATTACAAATGTGAAGATCAAGCCTACATCTGAATCAAATTTTTACAACAGCCTCAGAGCAAGATGTAAAAAAATTAGGCAGCAGGACAGGGCTGGTAATTGATAATGATGGATCAAAACATTCTGACCAGGAAGTGTACATACTAAGCCTATTTGCATGTTGTCATATTGGGAGTCTGCACAGCTTCCTTTAGTGCTCACTGGTGGAAAGAATGAATTAAGTTTGTTTCTCGAAGACTGACCAAATTCATGTTGATTATTCTTTTCAACCCAGACCCCACCACAGGCCAGGAGGATTGAACTTGTTAGAGATGCAAAAATTGGTATGTGCACAATACCAAACCAATGAGTAGTAATTTTATAGCAAGCTGACAGCAACTGAAAGCGATAATTTTTGAAGTAAAGTCCAGAACAAAAATGAATGTGTTTCTCGGGAACATTTGAAAAGTGCATAACTGCCAAGGGTTCAAAACTAGCTATAACCACTCTCTCAACATCAATGGGTGAGAAAATAATTATGGAAAAGATTTGAGTTGTTGACGCACTTCAAATAATTTCATGCACTGCATTCTGAAACTTAAGAAAAAATAAAAAACAACCATTTGGATGGTTTACAAAAGAGCCCTGGTTAGGTCCCATACTTGTGAAACTTTCAGAATAAAAAAGAAAAAACTGAATCAATAAAAATATACATGTAGATCTTAAACAATGATTATAATAAAAAAGTTACTGTCAGTAACTAATTAACTAACTAATTAAAATTAACAATTTAAGGCTTGATTTATTACAGTAAGAAAAATCTTTAAAAATTGCATAAAAAAATCTTTAAAAACTGCATAACACTGCTATTCCGACCAATTTCTTAGCACGCTTCAGTGTAATCAAGAAATGCACGAACAAATTTGACTGCCTTGTTAATGAAATGCTTTGCATTCAAGATCTTAAACCAGCACTGAATGTACAGTCTGATTTTCTTCGTGCTAAAGTATTCATGTAATTAGCTTGGCACTCTCTTATGCAAATTCGCTTCAACTTAGCCTCATCACAAACCGCTTTTTATCTTTAATTATGTAAACTTGATAATGGCGCAAGATGCACCGAAACGTCGGTTTCTATCACTTACATTGTATATTTCTTGTTTCATGTATTTCCAAATCGTTTCTTATAAAAATATAATGTAGGTATTTTTAAAACATCTTTCCAGCAAAGTTCTTTTTTCAGTTTTTGAGCCTCTTCTTCAATATTCACTGATCCAAAACATGTCATTAGTACATCGGTAAAAGTGGAGGGGGATTTGATTTGGCTTTCTTTGTTTGGTAATTTTCCTTTTCTCTTTCTTACTTTGTTTTTAGGATTTGGGTTTGTCGCTGGTAGTGAAAAACCCGTTGTGATACGGTCTGTCATACCAAGTAAGATTTGATTGAATTTGGGTTTTGCACACTATACTGTACATACTAGTTATGCACGAGAGAGCTTGGCATAACTTTTTTAATATAACATGCCACAGAAGATATAATGGCCAACAATCAACGCGACATACGCGCGGAGCATGATGGGAAGGTTGGATGTAATACCGTCGAATATACAACAGCTTTCCTGTGTTCTTATTGGCTGTATTTTCTATGGCATGGCATAATGTACGGTTACCGTATTAACATGTCCTAGAGTCGATCATAGCTTTTGTGTTGCAGTCATAGTCTTGAAGTCTGCCATCTCAGCATGAAGATACATAACCTAAACAGAGACCTTGGCAGCTGCGGTAAACACCTCTCTTCTCGGAAGCTTAATCCTTTTTTCGCTCGAAAGAAACACTCATTTCGAGTTGAAAATTTCCATACAGATGGCTAGCTCCATAAAGAGATGCATTTAGTGTCCGTCATTGGATTTGATTTGTTGCGCATTGTACAACCACTGCGAGAGATTAATTCACTTTTTTTGTAGAGCTGCAAACATATCCTGAAGATCATTGCTTTGGATTTTTTGTGCAAAAAGTTTGTAGTGAGAGAAGACCGATGTGTACGCGCGAAAATATTCATAGACGTCTGTAACTGGACTTGATCTTGAAAAGATCCAAATTGAACAAACATGTTCCTTGTTGATTCTGGGTTCTCCATGAACTCTTGCAGACGGACCTTCCGACGAGAAGCTCTTCGCCAATGACCAGATCCTGAAGGTGAATGGACAAGACGTCAGAGATGCAGCACAAGCTGATGTCATTAGTCTCATCAAGTACGTTTACTTTTAACTTATTTACTTTGAATAGCACGACTGTGTACATGTTACAGCTGATATTTCATGTCGTGCGATGGCAAGATAATTTTATAGTTACGAACCGTGAAAAATAACGCGAAGTCTTTTAATTTAATTCTCACGCGTTTTCGCAGCTTCACTTGGAAAAAGAAACGACCATTGTAGTTTATCATATAAACTAGTTTGTAGAAATAGACAACAGTCGAACAGAGCCTAACGGAGCATATGCTTTTCCTAGGCTGTTTTCTAACTCTGTTTGCAAGGCCCCAAATTATTTAATTCTCTCAGCACTGAAATTCAAAATGCCTCTAGCTTTGCCGTCTTCACCTCTAATCTTAGTCATCTTTCTTGGTTTAAGTATATTTTGCTTCTCTTAGTGTGCCTGTGTGTGATTTCTTTTTCTCTTTTTTGTCTTTCTTTGCTTTTTCTCATTTGCGCATTTAGTTTGCTTAACTACTTTTTATCCTTAACTATGTTCGTTTTGTATGCCGATGGCAGCATTTTTATTTGAAGCCTTTTGTAAATATATTTATAAATGGCAAAAATAGAGCACGTAATACAAACAAATGAAAACAAACAAACAACTTATCTTAGAGCGTTTGTTCTGATCAGGGAAAATATAATTAAATACAACCGACCAGTACGCTGACGCCATATTTATTTTTATATAGGAATACGGTTGGTCGTATTGAGTTGGAAGTTGTGGCAAGTGAAGATGTGCAAGATTCGAAAAATCAGGTAAGCGTATTTTTGAATTTTAAAGCCAAGTCAGCTATTTTAGTTTTGGCAGAGAATGAGGAATGGGTTAATTCCTGCTTTCTGTGCGTTCAGTTTACTCTCGGTTCCCTTAACGAGTTTTCTATTACTTATGCTTCCCACTTTTTTGAAACTCGAGCTTCCCTTCTTTTCCCTTCCCGCCTACCATACCCCTGCGACTTCTTACCCCCACCCTCCCCATCGTTTTAAAGTGGCTAGGCCAGGTGTTGGTCCTGCAGTATTACATCCACTTCGGCCTGGAACGTTTTCATATACGTTGTTTTGTTTCGATCGTTTTCTTTTCGTAGCACAATCGGAAGTCATCCCTCATGAGTCGAACCACTCGAGAGCGTCGTCGGTCAACCCCAGTCTCCGTGCGGTTCGCAGATGAGCCCGCTTTGGTGCAGGTCATCGGTCCAATGGAACCTGTTAGAAGAGTAAGTTGAATTGATTTATTTGTTGTGTGTTGAAAATCGTCAAACATTAACTTCATTTCATAAGATCTCAAGTAAAGTAGTGTGAGAAGTGGTGCTTGTGTACTGTGAAATTTATGCTGTCTCTCAATGCGTAGTAGCTGTAGTGCAAATTTACGATTGATCTTTATACATGTAAGTGTCCTTTAGACAAGTTGCTGGAATTAACCAGCCGACTAAAGAAAGTAGTTTCAGGCTCAGGTTGCCATATGATCGCTACGATCGAAACGAAACAAAACTAATCGAAACGAACGCAACGCAGCGCAACGTAACGGTAACGCAACAACAGTCTTGTAATATATTGTGTGGCTGATTGTCCCTTGTTGTCTGACAAAAGTCTTCAGTGCCACTTATCCCAAACGTCTTGAAAGTGTTCTTGGAAAATGGTCAGACGCGTTCTTTCCGCTACGATTCCAACACAACTGCTGAGGTACGTACTACCCGGTGAAATAACGTTTAACTCTAATCTCTGGTTTCTTGTTTGGCCCAGATTGCTAGAAAGCCCATGCGTTCCGGTATTTATAAGCTATATTGGACAACTAAACCTCGATTAAAAGCACACTAATGAGCACTTGAAATGTTCTATAAGTTACGGTATCCTTGTCTGGTTCAGATTGCTAGAACGCCGATGCGTTCCCGTACATTTAAGCTGTATTGAACTACTCGCCTTGATCAAAACCGCTCTTTACTACTTGCAGTGTTGTAGGCTTAAAATAAAATGGACTTCAGACGCTGACTTATTTTATTCCCGTTCTAAAGCCCTGCACCCTTAAGCCACGTTCACATTACTGTTTTTACACCGGAGAAATTTGAAAACGCAGCATCTTTTCTACGGTTAGGCCTACTGTCCACACTAATCCGTCACGAAAACGGAGCTTTTCGAAAACGCTCTTCAAACCGGAGGAATTCGAAAAAGCCGGCTTTGCGTTTTATTGTGGAAGGGAAACATTTTCAAAAACGGAGCTTTTCGTAAACGATGACATCACGCTGATCGTGTGATTTCCCTGTCTAACTATTTCTCAAACACAATTCCAAAATGACCGGTCATTGCTGCGTTTTTGAATTCCTCCGGCGTAGTGTAGTGTGGAGGAAAACATTTCATGCGTTTTCAGAATGAAAACGCCGTTTTCAAATTTCTCTGACGTAGTGTGGCCGGGGCCTTAAAGACATGGATTTGTGCCTTAATTAACTGATTTGAAACTTGTTCCTTTTATATAACTAAAGAACTTCCTGTGTTTTGAAATTCTTACGCTGACGAAATCGTGTGATGTTATGGCCCCTTTTGGCTATTTGCAAACGCTGGAATCGCCAACTTCATTTTATTGAAACTTTGTCATTGGGTGAATACTATGTTTACACAGGGCGGTAAATTGATACGAGTGTCATTTAATTTTCTTCAGGAAATATTCTGTTCATTTAGCTCAAAACTCGACGTGAAGTTGATGGAACACTTTAGTTTGGTTCTCACGGGACCAAAGAAAGGACAGATTTCATACATACAAAACAACGAGAAGATTGCTGAGGTAATCTGCTTGCCTTCAACTGTTACTCGTATATCTTGACATAGTGCAACTGTGCTATCTTGGCAATCATGCACTTGTAAACATTTTCTGTTTGAGGTACCATTACTGCTTGACTAGGGTGTCTAAGTTGGATTTTACAATAACATAATTCATCTTTCCATACTGACCCTATGCTGCTTTCCCCCACAGATTTACACTAACCGAAACTGCAGCAGTGTGAATTGTTTGTGCAAGCTTAACATCGCGTTAGTATAAATCGTTTTCCGTGTCTATGTACTACTGTACTTATATGTTTATGTGAAATGTAGAGAACGTAAGAGGTTCGGTTTCTAGTGAAGAATTCAAAGTAATTTGGCGAATAGAAGTCGGGGCCTGGGGTAGGGTGGGGATTAGATAGGTTATTCATTGTTATGCTCCGTTTAAAAGTGACACTTTATGCTGCTAGTACTACAATGGGGAGAGAGTGTTATTTAGGGAGTGCGATTTTAATTAATGCTGCAGCGGGCTTCAGGAATAGTTAGAGTACCCATTTTGGAAAATTACACCACGGAAGTAAATCGAGTAGATACCGTAGAATTCACATGATCAGCAGCAGTTACCGCGTGTTGCTAATGAGGGATACCTAACGGTAAGCCGTGTTAGACTCGTGGTTATGGCGATCAAAACATTTCTTATGGTTTCTCATTCCCATTTCTAATATTCTCACCAGTTTTGTGCCCAAGGACCACTTTGAGCTACTTTCACAGGATCGCAACACCTTTGAATATCTCTATGCTCAGGTAAGGCGTTGAAACTGGCTTTCATCTGCGTTATGGTTTACGCATCTTGAAAAATTTAGCCTCAATTTTTCGAGTTCGTTGTTTATAATCCCTGTTAATCTTCTCCATCGTTAACCATCCTTCTTTCTTGATTGTTTGTTATCATCTGTTTGGTGTTTTATCCTAGTAAATTAGTATTTTCAGATTTCCTTCAATTTAAAGGATATTTTGTTCATGGCCAAAATACCGTGACTGAGCTCCTTTAAATGTCTGCTTCTCACCAGATACATATCCTATTTAAGTTACATCTCGAAAAGTGGTGTCCAAACCAGTGGTGTCCAAAAGCATGAAACGGCGGCCATGTTGGTGTCTCACACCAATCCTATGAGAATTGAACTCTTGTTTTGTGTAGACACTTTCTTTCGTTCCAATAAATTTGCATGGCTGCTGGCCACGAGAGGGAAAACACTCTATAGTTGTAGGTACCTAATCGATGACTTGTCGGGCCTCACTGGCCCTGACTACAAGCGCGATCATCACTATAAATGGATTGAATTTTACCGACCGAGCTGCGAATCCAGAACGTCTTAAACACTTGAGAAATATTCTATTTGATTGTCCTTTTAGTTTTTGGATTTAACTTGAAATTTAATCGTTTTGTGTTTGAAGAACATTCTTTTCAAGATATCTTAGTCCTCTTTTGTCTGCAGTTGTCCCGTAAATAGTCGCAAGAAATAACTAAAATGAGCTCAGTCAAACAATGTCCTTGTATTTCCTTCAGGTTACCAACAGGGTAGTAGAAGGTTTCTATGGAATGGATCTGAAGTACGACCTGGCTATCAAGCTGGCAGCTTTACAAATTCAGCAAAAGGTTATAGAGGCAGCCGCTGGACGACCAGTTAAAATCTCTGTACGACAAGTGGAAAAGGAATTCGGAGGACTTGCAAAATTCGTTACGTCAGATCTCTTGCACAACATGAGGGAGAAAGAACTGCGAAAAATTCTTGATCAACAGATAAAGCAGAACGAGAATCTCGCCTCTCCGGGAGAGAAATACATGAGCTCTTTACAGTGTAAATTACATTATTTAAATCTTTCTGCAGAGATGTTTTCTTATGGTGGAAGGTACTTTGATGCTGAGCTTGTTGATAATGACAACGAAGGACCAAGTCTCAAAAAGGTTTGTCGTATTTCATTTCACTAATTTATGTATTGACCTTTTACTGGCCGATAGTACGAGTCGCTTACTACAGTCGAGCCTCGTGTTAGCGACCACTCAAAACGCGAAGCCTAGGTGGTCGCTTACGGGAGGTGGTCGCTTATGAGAGCTTAGGCGATATTGGGTCAAAATTTTGCCTCATTGGCATATGGTAACTCCGGAGACCTATCTCATGTTTTAAAGGGGTAGTCTCACCAAGATTTAGTGCTACTTGAAAATCCAAATGAAGGTGTTGGTGTTAATTGGAAATCCACTAGTAGTTGCCTAACCTTGCTAAAATGTACCGTACTAGTCACGAAAGCTGTTTACAACTGTTGTGGCTACGGACGAGTAGGGAAGGTCTAAGTGGTCTAAAACTTGAAAACGTCGGGCCGACGTTTTCAAGTTTGACAATGTTACTTGGAGGAAAATCACAAAAAATCACTGATCTCTTAGAGATTGAATTTATGCCTTTTTTGTCGTTTTAAGGTTATTTTGTTGATCAGTGAGTGCACCTTTATAATTCCACCATAGTTTGCACAAAAACCTAGAAGACCTCTCGTGATACTACCCCTTTTAGCGTTTTATTCATGTCAAAAGTCAATTTCGGGAAAAAATACGATACTTCCCATTGAGAAATTTCCGTCTCTTGTACTACCGAGGAATGCAATAATGTTACAACATTCTATTATCCAATTTCCGCTCTATTATCTGTCCAGTGGTCGCTTACGAGAGGTGGTCGCTTACAAAATGTTCCAAATGCAGTGATTTGACCTGGAAAATCTTGAAATTTTGGAAAACTGGTCACTGAGGAGAGATGGTCGCTCACGAGAGGCGGTCGAAACCGGAGGTTCGACCGTAATTAAAATTTTTTTTATCACACGATTCCTCGCGGATGCCATAATGGTCACCTTTTTCCTTCTTAACCATGTTCTTAAAGTGCTAGAACTTTCAGGGTTGCCACGGGTCAGGAAGTGGTCGGGAAAAAAGTATTCAAGGTTATTTCGGTAGTCGCTGGGCAAACCCGCAAGTGTGTAATTGGTGATTACCCTCTCTGTTTTTCCTTAGACCAAGAAGCAACATATAACGGTACTTATTAACCTAAAGTATGGAGTGAGTCAAGTTGTCAGAGGAAAGGTTAATGTTGTAAGTGGATCTCTTTACTTTATTATCCAACGTTTTCTTTCTGAAACGATCAGACATACTATGGTATCTTGCAACTTCCATGATGGAAGAGGTTTAACAATCTACAAAACAAACTACATTTTCGTTGTTAACTTACAGTTGTGTCAATTGGCTGAGTTTCACGAGATCACAGGATTTGCGATTCGTGTTCACGAGGACAACAAACGGTTACTACGTATAAAGCTACAGGAGGACAAGGTAACATTCCTTGACAACTGAATTTTCCTTCTTGTAAAATAAACTGTTACAAAATGTGATTTGCGAAATGCAGAGTAATATCATTCTTTATATTGAAGGAAGCATCGGAGTAATTCTTCTCTTCTACTTCCAGAAGATACAATTGATTTGTACCACCCTGGACTGTCTGGACATGATAGCACTGATCACTGGGTACTACAAAGTGTATGTTGACAACACGAGCAACACACCTCTGCCAGTAGAGAATGAAGAGAAGTGGCCATTTGCTTTTCGTCGAGATCCCCCTGTGAATGATGGTGGGTACCGAAACATCAGATCCTTTTAGCCGGATATCGGTTGTATAAAAATATCGGCCAATTAGCCGAAACTAGAATGGAAATCCATTATTTTTGCGAAACACGTTGTCTGAAGGGTATTTTACTAGTGTAATCATGGTCATCAAGAACGAAAACAAAAGCAAACCTTACTGATGTACCATGAGGCAAAGAGGATAATGCTTTGCCTCAGTTAATTTACATTGTAACCAAAGATATCTATTTGGGATCAAAATGATACATTTTACAGAGACCAAGAGCCTGGATTGACTACAAATCCAACATAGTTAGCAGAATAACAAATATAATTTCGATGTACATAGACTCATATTGGTTTTATAAATGTTTCAGCATTGCCAGACTTTTATTCAAGGCATCGCGTAGTTCCAGATGTGTGGTCGTACCCTTCCTGCTTTCAAACGTCAAATGAAAAGAGGAAAACACAAGTAGAGAATTCCAAGCCAGCACAGAAAGACGTATTTCTTGACTTGTCTAGAGCTCCGCCTAGATTTAATGAAACTGCTATTTCCGAGGAGCCTGAAGATGATAACATGGTCTTGGAGAAAACTGATCAAAACCAGACAGACGAAACTACGCTACGCCGAGAGTCACCGAATCACGAAAATTTATCAACGCAAAATTTACAGTGTGACTTTGAAGCGGGCGTTTCCCAAATGCAGCAAGATGATATGTTAGAGATTGTTATGTCGGATAAAGAACAGGAGCTCCTGGACACGGCGTCTTCCTTTTTGAAGAACACTTCGGAAAACAACGACGAAATGCAGTCAGATGCTTCCTTTGTCGGCGATATTGATGCTGAAAACGAGGACTTAGTCGCGTCAGGTACGCGACATCATGTCTTTGAGAAGGAAAACCTGACCATAAAATCAGTAAAAACAGCACCAGCTGAGCACAGAGACGATAATCACGAGGACTTGATTTCAGAGCTAATTCTTGCAGAAGAAATTTGGCAAGAGGAAGAAGCAGGTACTGTGCTTGCTGATGAACACGAAGAACATATCGAAGATACAAGCACTTTTAGCACATGTACGACCCATGAGGGCGACAGCTCGGCAGCAGTGGGGATAAACTCTGAAGAGACCAGTACTCAGGTGGACAACACTGTTGATGAGCAAAATTTTCTTGAGCTTGTGGTGGCAGAGCCTCTACAGCTGTCAACTAAAATCGACCACAGTACTCATTCAGAACGTACGCTGGTAGAGAACAACGATCTAATTGTTTCTTTGCCCTCTGATGGCCACTCTCTTGGGACAGCAGACGTGAATCACAACTTCGTCATTAATAGCATCACGAAAGCCGCTCCCGTTACAGACGAGAGCGCGTATACAGAGCCAGTAGTCTTTGACGCAGATGGGACTTCCCATTTGGGTCTATCTGTACAACACGATCCACTCACCCACACAGAACCCGTCGAAGACCGAAGTACAACTCCTTCTCCAGAGGATTTGGGGTGGGATGATAGAAAATTTGACAGTCAGGGAATTGAATTGGCAGATGTTCTGGAACATGGTGCTACGCCAGAGGGGTTTGCTGAGGTTGAAAGTGACGCGGAGAAGCCTGCTTTGTTAGATGGAATACGTTCCGACGGAAAAGGAAGTGACTCGACAGTAGCTTTTTATGATTCTGACGAGTTTGAGTTAACAAGTGACTCGGGTTCAGTTAGGGACGGCATTGGCGTTGATAGCAATCCTGATGATCTGGACAATTTTGCAGATAGTGTAGCCACCCACATGGTTTGTTTGGAGTTTGACGAAAATAGTGATACAGAGACGGAGTCAACTATGTCCGACGAGGATGAATCACTGTGGTCAACATTTCCAGAGTACTTCCATCCAAGTAGGCGGTTAAGGTATTCGAATAACAAGCAAGCCGAACTCTTACTAGCTGAAGAGGATCAAGATACAGATGGCTTAGTTTCTACGAAAACCGATCGAGAGGTGGCCTTAGTCGACGTCAAAGAGTTAAGCACAGCATACAAGAGTAATTCCAAGGACACCGTAGTTGCCGGTGAGAAGCAGGACGGTGGTTCTCTTACTGATGATTCGGAGGAACTCTCGACAGCGTCTTCAGAGAGCTTCGAATATACCTATGAAGTAAACGCTGAATTTCCATCTGAAAGCGAGGAAGTGAGTGAGGATAGCGGTTATGTCAATTTAATAGGGAAAAAGGAAAGACGAATTCAAGAAATCTGTGACGAAAAGAAAGACACTAATTCGTTTTCTCCACATGATGTGATGGTAGCACGGGATAAGTGTATCAGCGATATATGTGACGTTCCTCTCAGTACTCTGTCTGACCCGAATGACAAAATTTCAAAGGTTGATCGACCCATGGCATTCTCATCAGCTGAAATAACGTCTCTACTAGACCAAGAGAACGCTTCACAAAAGAAAGAATGTGCAGAAATGTCGATGGACATTTCGGAAAAACAATTACCAAGAACTTTGTTGGAATCTAGACATGAAAATGGAAGTTCTTGCTTTTTCGTTGACGACCCGTTAAAAGATGCCCTTCTGGAAAAGACAGAAGTTCTCTCCGAAGAGTGGAGATCGTTAAACTATTCCGATAAAGATAAAGGAAGGATACTAGATAGAGACTTCTCCCCCTCAGACTGGATCATACCATCCCCACCGAGTCCTACACATGAGCTCCAGGAAGCTGATATTTGTGTCGTTGCTCCGCCTCCACTCTCTCCAACGTTGATTGAAGACGATTTAGATGCTGAATTGAAACACCTGATTGTTCCTCCTCCTCCATCTTCTGCGGATACTTTACCAATCGTTTCCGGAATCAGGATTGTGTCTCCACCACCATTAGAAGTCAATGACAATGAATTGGACCATTTATTATACGATTACGATGACATTAGATTTCTCTCGCTGACTGATGATCACAAAATTGCAAAGAACAATGTTTTGTTTTCAGCACAAAACTTCGATTCGAATGTTACTGAAGATAAGAAAATCCAAGCTCAAAAGATCAAGGCCGATGCATCGTCTATATCTAGAGAGGGAGTCAGTGGGAATAAATCAATTGGTACGTCAAGCACAGAAAACAGCATTTTCGACTCAAGTGGAAACTCACGCAATGCAGTTCAAGCTTCAGTCGAGCAGAGTTCAACAATGAATGTTTTCACGACTCCTTCAGAGTCTTCTTTACCAAATCCTTTGAAGAATTGCTCAGTTGCCGTGGATGATTCACCTACTACATGGAAGCGATTTCAAAAAGAGAAGCGTATATCAGACGACCATCTAAACAAAGACAATATCAGAGGCAAGAGCAAAAACCCAATGAAGACAACCGAGCTGAATTCATTATTCAACTCTGGACAGGGAAACATATCTGTTGAAAACCGCTCCAGGTTTCCTTTGAAACAAAAGCCTCCTCTTCCTCCGAAACCTCGTATTTTCCGGGCAACAACAGACGATGGGATGTACGACAGTGTTAAATCTAGTAACGTCAAAGTTCAGGATTCGGCTGATACGGGCGTGAAATGGGATTCAGAGTCATCTAAAAACACTAGCTTCTTAAAGAAGAAGTCCTCTGCAAAACTCAAGTCTTCACGCCCAACGTTGCTAGGTGCAGATGAACAAGTCACAACTCTTGTCTCTTGCGGTGACATGTCTGCCCTGGATTCTCAAACCACTACAGAGGACATTACATCCAGGGAGGAGGTCACCTTACCAGGCGAGAAATATGGCACCAGGAGAAGTTCATCGTTTACCTGCGGATCGCCTTACGTTCCTGCGCCACACGCATCCTCGAGGTCTCAAAGACTAAACTCGGCTGAGTCCTCTGTAGTGAGGACCCACAAATTTACACCTGATACCTCCAGCTTATTTTCAGAGCAAGCTCCCACAGTGAACTCTTCTGCATCCGCAACATCTACACTCTTCGCAAAAAACAAGCCCCATTTTTCTGGTAACGAAGCGTCTTTTAGTCGACAACTGCGACCACCATTGATGAGACACCCTGCATCACATCCATCTCTTCTTGATTCGGATGGCAACTTAGGCTCAAATGCACCTGGATATGGTACAAGCCGTGTACTTCAACAGCCATTAATAGAGAGCCCAATTTCACAGCTTTCCCCTGTTGTCCAGCAAGAGGATAACTGTAACAATTCATTGACCTTACCGCCTCTGCCAGACAGTCCACCTCCACCTTTGCCAGAGTCGTCACCTCCTAAATTGATTCCCGAGTTCGATACTGAGGATTTTGACTTGGGTGAACCACTGCTCGAAACATTTCAAGATGATAGTCAAAACATAAGCGCTGAATCAGCCACATCCGATCTTCCATCCTCTGCTAAGGAATTAAAGTCCAAGCGCTCTTTAACATCGTTGGATTATAAACAAGGAGATTCCTGTAGCAACGTTTCTGAAAGGCGAGAAAAACCACACGGTGGTAACACTTTGTCTAGATCACTAACTCTAACGTCCTATCCTCCAGGAATAAACCAGCGATCTTCAAGTGTAGTTTGGACCTCTCATCGAGACGCTACATTTTTTGACGGTCGGACAAAACGTTCCAGCTTTCCTTTGGATGAGTGTTGTAACTTGAAGGATGTTACAGCCACGGGCTTCTTAAGTTCCTCGCGGGAATCCCAATCTCTCAGAGCAAAATGTTTAAACGTTTGCGAGGAAGGTCTCTCGAAGGTGATTGATTTGGAGAACAGGCTTGAGATGTACTTAAAGGGAGAAGCATCAAAACCACAATTGTCCAACGAAGTTAAAAACTGGCCTCTGATTTTTCAAAATAACGCTAGGTTCTTGGCATGTGATATCAAAGTTATTTCGTCGAGCGTTAGACGTGGTAGTCCGCAGGTTGTATCAGCCGTGGAAACCTCTTTGGATTCTTTGGAAAAACTGACCGAGTCCTGTGAGAAAACGTGCTCAATGCTAAATGAAAAGTCCAATCAAAATGGGCGTTCTCTAGTTACTATGGTAAGGGACGTATTCGAGCAGTATCGTGACATCATTTCCGCTGTGAGAATCGCTTCTGGTCAGCAGCCTAATCACCCAGATGTAGAAGTATTAGTCAAGAAGACTAATGCTATGGCTACGCTAATTGCTTCATTGATACGAGAGCTGAGGAATTACTAGTTACTGGACTGGAATTAATTTAAGTTAAACCCAATAGCTTTTAAATCAGATTTTTTATCTTGCAAGACTTTCAAGAACAAATATCGTCATTTTGTTTTATTTGTTATCCTAAATTATTTTTTCACATTCTCCAAATACTTTTATTGTTAAGTCTCTTTTCTGGTGCCAAGCAAAACTGACTTCGAAGAAAGGAAATTTTGGAATTGAAATTTTTAGGAATTTTATACAGCTGGCATTAGGTGTCAAAATCGCAAGTCGTTTGAAATTTTCCATTTTTTAATTTATTGAGATTGAACTATTTATTCGCAAATTTAACATGTGGAAATGTTCAAATTTAACAGCAATTGTTAATATATAATCGCTCATGACGGGTAATCAAATGTAAAAACTATTCAGGTTCGTCAGTGATGTATTTATTGGAGACTCAATTCATTCGGTTAAAATCTGGTGAGAGAACAAAAATGCGAATAAATCTCCAGAAAATAACCCTGCCTTCAGTTTTTATTAACGATCAGTATAAATCTACTTGCGTTCTATCAGGGATGCCGTGCTCTGATTGACTTCCCTGCTCACTATCTATCCTGTTGTAGACTGAGTAGCGTAGCAGTGTGCGCTCGTTAACAAGGTGTCTGTCAGGAGTATTTAGATAAAGTTTTGAACGACTAGTAGATTTATTATACTAAAACAATTAGATTATTCGCTCTCGATTTCTATGCGTGATAACAATCTCGAGCTCATAATCTAATTGTTAAAGTAGATAGTGCCGTAGCAGTGTGCCTTTGGTATGAAAATGGAGGCCCCTTCGTTGCGTTACTTATCGAAGTGTTTGTGAAGAGGATTTAGTTAAACCTTTGAACGACTAGTAGATTTATACTAAAACAATTGGATTATTTGCTCTCGATTTCTATGCGTGATAGAAATCTCGAGCTCATAATCTAATTGTCAAAGTAGAAAGTGGCTTAGCAGTGTGAGTCTGTTATCAAAATGGAGGCTCATTCGGTGCGTTTTCGAAGTGCTTGTGGGGAGGATTTAGATAAAGTTCTAAACTACTAGTGGGCTTATACTAAAACAATTAGAACTGCAACTAAGTGAAGAACTGGCCTCAGTGCTAAGGCTCCTTAGCATTGATTCGCTCTCGATTTCTATGTGTAAAAGTTGACTCGGGCGGCGCCCTCGTCGACTATCGCGCGATAGAAATTTCCAGCTCACAATCTAATTGTTAAGTAAAACTGTAGATATAGCTGCTTGTTTTAGCAGGTTTTATACTTCAAAGAGTCGTAATGATAAATCGATGTTTTTGTATTTTCCATATCTAAGCCATTTGTTTTTCGGGTTTTTGTATCTCCTAAGATGGCTGTAAAGCATCCTTTTTTTAAAAGCGCCTTTCTGGGAGCGCCCGTACATTTTTCAAGATGACGGGGATAGATTTCTTGCAAAGACCCATTTTGTTACCGGTTTTCATTCTTTTAATAACTTTTATATTTCTTTTATTCAATGCAGGACGTTGCTTGTGGGCAATAAAACAAAATAAATTAACGAACAAACAAACATGTGCTACATATTACAGTTAACTGAACTTAACTCTGCCAAGAAAAACTGCTTTATATAACATAGCTAATCGCTCTTTTGTTTTACCGCGCCTTTCAATAACACGCGAAATATTAAGCTAGAAACCTAACTAACAACTGCGTTTTTGGCTGCCGTCAATCATAACTAGGACGGTCTGCACCAAAGATCCTTGAGAAAAAAAGCCAACAAAATGGATGGAAATCTACCAATTAACTCATGGAAATTAATTTCTTGAATCTGTTGAAGTGAGCTTCTGTTTCGTGATAGGTCCGGCCAACATGGTTGACGGCAGAGAAACACGAAGCCGCTTATGCAGAGCTTGCGTGTCTCGAAAGGCGCTATAATTAACTGTTGAGCGAGACATCGCAAAGTCTGCTAGCTTGAAGAAATTTAGTTAAATCGCTTTTGAAACTTCACGTGAAACATTGACTAAATTGATATTGTGAATTAACATCTATAAATGGACGACATATTATTTTTACATATTGGTTTCTACTTTCTATCATTAGAAATCTTAATATAGAGTGAACATAGCTTTCGGTACTTTTGAAAGTGTCTTGTTTGCAGCTGTTTATTAATTCTTTCATATATGTTTCATTATTAGAACATAGCTATTTATCAAAGTTTGCCTAGCGCGAGTAAATATTAATTTATTCATTATTTTCCTGTGCGCTCATTCTAACAGAAAACCCTATACTAATGGCATAGCTGTACAGAGACCATTAACCCCATTTAGCCAGGGTGAACGGTGGTCGTAATCTATCCTTGCAAAGACAGCATTCCGATAGTGGTCAAACTTTGCGACTTCTCCGAAAAATTATCAGGCTATATTTTGGTGTCAATTATTTGACCACGTGACTTCAACCTTTGATTTATCGAAATTTATTGTTTCTTGTGTTTAAATTTCTTTCTTCGTCCGAATTTGGATCTCATGGCGATTTTATTCTATAGTCTAAATACTTCCTGTTTCTTATAGTTTCACTGATTTTTGGAATCAATTTTAGGTCTGTTCTAACGTTTTTGAAAACTTCTGAAATTCAAAAACTTCTGGAAAGTGTCACGAACGAAAAAAATGCTTAGGCTAAATAGAATTAGCTGGATTTATTTGCATCATTAGATCAGCCACTCGCTGGCTAAGTAATATAAATGAAGAAATATTTAGACTGTAGTATAGTATATTTGGCCTGGAGTTTGTTTCCGAGTTGTCTTATTTCACAGAGGGGGTTTTCAGCCATCTTGGTTTACAGATAAACCGAAATTGGCTATATTACTCCACATGGTTTGTAATCGCTTCCAACTTATAAATTTCTTCCAAGTACTGACTTTTCTCTGTGACATCTGGATCAGTATCGTTACCATGGTAATTCGAATTCTCATCGGGCAGCTGGTTTTCTTTGTCATCATCGCCGTCCTCAACGAGATTGTTGTTGCCATCTTGGCAGTTTTCGGCATTGTCGATATCTTGAATGATACAGGATCGTATGGACCTCCCGTTCAGTGGACAAGGTGGTCTGCAATGGTCTTCCATTGGTTCTCCACTTCTGTTACGTACGCCGCGGAACGCATTCATCTGTTAAGTAACAAAGAAGTAATTAAGAGGTCATTAACTTCAGCTTAATCTTGCCAATGTGTAGCTACAGATCTAGAGCTGCCTTATAATTCAGTGACAACGTTTCACCGGCCCAAACATTAACCACGTAACCATTATTTAACCACATTAACCACCATTATTTCTTCGGAAAGATTACAGCTAATTACGGACATTTAAGCAAGCTTTTAAACTCAGTTTAAACTGTATTACCTGAGTGATCATAGATTTCCTTGGTTTGGTTTGAAGAGCAACCAAACAGACGGAAAACGAAAGCAAGCCCTGAGCGGTACAGAGGTGTTTGTGCCCCGTTTTGTAAGCTCGTCTTTACTTTTGTAAATTAGCCCTACGTGTTTGTGTAGAAGGAGAGCTGAAGGAAAACGACAGTACGCTTTGGGCCCTCACAACTAACCTCGTGTAGTAAATTGATTACATACAATACTAACATTACTTACACTACTAACACTTTTTACAATACTAACATTACCTACAGTACTTACATTACATACAATACTTATATCACTTACACCGTTGCTGACATTACTTACAATATAACCGTTACTTACACTACTACTACTACTCACAATACTATGGTAACTTACACTACCGATAGCTTACAATATTCTTTTACTTATGCTTGACATTTATTACATATAAAATCAACAGAATGCTATATATAAGTATCTAAAAGCTCACCGATGCTCGAACGCTTTGTGACTCCGTGGATAGTTTGCTTTTTAGCAATACTTTGAACGCTGTTATGCTGTAGGATTCACTTTCTTAGGCTGCCGTATAGATGCAGTAACGAACTACTATCAGGCAAAGGTTGACAGCTCGGAANCGTGTGAACTGTTTGTGGGACAAGTCCCTGCGACCAGACCCTTCGTGTAAACTCTTCAGGGGACTAGACGCAGGGACTAGACGCAGGGAATAGTCCCCTCGTGTGTGCCGACCTTTATGGATTTCAAGTTAATCATGGTTGACTCAGTGGCTAAGGACTGTTTTCATTCTCCTGAATTGCAAGCGGAATACTTAACCTCATACCAATGAGAAAATTTAGGACATTAGGGGGAGGAAGAGGAAGGTGTTGATCTGGGAAGCGAGGAAACTACTCACAAGGTATGATATTTAAACACTCTCACAGCTTGTAGTTTATACTCCTAGTTCTGTTTCTCGTTCTGATCCCTGACTATGTTTGAAAACATTCATTTCTCAATGTTAGAAGTTAAGCGAAACATTTCAGTTATCAGCTGTCCATTCCCCGATACTCTTGTTGAATCTAACCTTGTTTTCGTCACGTGAAAGCAATTTCACGATTGGCTTTAGACCTTCGTTGTCTTCATCCGATACCTGTAAGGTGAACGATGATGAACGTCGTACATATGTCGTACATAACACTTGATATGCATTTTTATCAAATGAATAAATTTAAAGACGTCATTATCCTTATCATTATTACTATTATTGCAAAGACATATTATTTAATCCCAGGTCGCCTTCACATTACCACACAGAATTTTAATTTCTGTACTCCTCATGCATATCTTAATAATTATTTTAGAATCTTTCCTGAATTATAACTGAATTAGACAAGAAACAAATAACAACAAACGATAACCAACAAACAAACTATCAAAATCTCAGAGGTCGACAGGGGGAACGACCGAACCACAAACTGACAGGTAGGCAGACAGCCACAAAAACAGACGGACGAACGGACGGATATAAACAGACAGATAAATAGAGAGACAAACGGACAGATATACTGACATACAGACACATAGCCTTCGATATTGGTTAAGTGACTTCACATAAAAATAGTCTGTTCCAGAAATATAGTCTGCTGCATTTACGAGGTTAACACCCTTCACCTGCCTGCAACAAGTCGTTCCGCAGAACTGATGGAATACTTTAATGAACCAGTTCTTTATAAAGAATTTAGGTTTACCTGAAAGAAGATTCCAATAATACACAAACCGTTTTCTCCAGCCATCGCCTGTCCGATATTTTTGTATAGGTCTTTGTTCCAGTGAATGAGTTGAACCTGTGCAAAGTAATTTATATTGTCAGAAAGAATGTACCCCTCAAAGTGGAGGAGCAGTTACAGGTCTTTTTCTCTCGGAAAGTCATGTGTTACGTGTTACCTCCAATGGATAATTCTGATCATCTATGGAATGCTCAGAGCCTGAACTATCGTCTTGGCCCCAGTGAAAGCGGATAACAGCCAACTGGTATTTGTCTGTTAAGGGACCACCTGTAATAACTGAGTAAGGCAGTAGACAGTGTACGTGAGATTGACGAAAAACACCAAAAAGATGTCGAACAGTTTTCAAAAATTGAGCCAAAACTTAAAACAGAAAATCTAGTAATCTACTTTCCTACGATATATGATTTCAAAATAATCCACTTTCGGAATAATTCATTTAAAGCAGCAGTGCTGCTGGTAACATTAAACTCAACCAAACTTTGATCAAATATGATAAGATAGATATCTCAGCCAATTTGTATCATAAATGTGTGATTCTTTGCGATACAAATCTACTAGATGTTTTCCACAATATGAGCTTAACAGTTTTGCTACCATGGCGACATACTGGGTTCCAGACCTCTCCGATATTAAAAGCATTTCAGCCCAACCAGCCTTAATTTAACCTGCCCATCATTTTGATATTTGCCAATTATGCCTTA